TTCGAGGCTCCAAATACCCGTAGAGTAAGAGCAAGAGCAAAAGCAAGAGCAAAGCAAAAGCAAGAGCGGGAGTTAGTAGTAGCAGCAGCAGCAGCAGCAGCAGCAGCAGCAGCAGCAGCAGCAGCAGCAGCAGCAGGAGTAGTAGTAGTAGTAGTAGTAGTAGTAGCAGGAGTAGGAGGAGGAGGAGTAGGAAAAGTGACAAGCATGTGTGTTGGAGCGGTTTCTGGCATGGGTAACAGATGCCACAGACTGGCTTGGTATGTGGGCGGTTGTCCAATTAGGGTCTCTTTTGGGCAGAAAAGCATAGGGTTCCCCAAAACCTTGACTGTTGCCCATGCGATCGCTTCGAAAGCCAGAACAATGCCAAACTCTAAACCCCAAACGCCAAGCCCGAAACCCTAAACCCTAAACCCTCAACCCCAAACCCTAAACCCTGAACCCTAAACCCTCAACCCGAAACCCGAAACCCTAAACCCGAAACCCGAAACCCGAAACCCGGAGGCTTCGGGATGAGGTGGCGCTGCTGCAGAACTCCGCTTCGTGCGCCCGCTTTGCTGAAGCGGCGTGCAGGGCCGTGAGATGTGATGTTTAGGGTTTAGGGTTTAGGGTTTAGGGTTTAGGGTTTAGGGTTTCGATCATAGCTAGGATTATAGTATCGTATACAGATAGTCTATGCTTAGAACATATCCTTCATGGAATTGTTTTAGTAAGATACGGTCAACCGAAGCCCTTGCTTTTAGATCCATCCGTCCCCCCTGTCTGATCCCAAACTGCAGCCCAGGCGTTCCCTCCTGAAGCAGTGGAGTCCAGTGTTTAGGCTTTAGGGTCCAGGGTCCAGGGTTTAGGGGTGAAGGAGTTCAGGATGTGGGGGTTTACGGGTTTAGGGTTTGGGGGTTGAGGAGTTTAGGGTTTGGGGGTTGAGGGGTTTAGGGTTTGGGGGTTTGCGGTTTGGGTCTTTGGGCTTTAGACTTTCAGGTACCTTGCGGCTGACCGGCTGAGTTTAGCTGCCGCAGTGCTATTGCGAGCCTTAGAGTCGAGACAAGGCGGGACATTTTTGGGGTGTTTCGGGTTTAGGGTTTGGGCTTAGGGTTTAGGGTTTCCTTAATTAAATCCTCAAACGGATAATAAGGAGCCTCTAAACCTAGAATCGGAAAGCCCTAAACCCTGAATCCCTGTTTCCCTAAATCCCTGAAGCCTCTACAATACCTTACCTACAGTCTCCCTTGCAGTTCCTTTTTTGGTTAACCAAGTTTATGGTTTGGATCCTATAAAATAAATTTGCGCAACCAAAACAAGGAACTACAATGAAAACTATAGGTGAACCTGCAAGGGCTTCAAAGGTGGTCAAGCCTGTCTCACACAACTGGGTAATGATGGGTGCCTAAACAACTATCTATATTATTTTGGGGGTTCCTTTTTATACTTATACATTAAATTAAAGGGCCCCAAAACCCTATTCTGATCTTAAGGCCCCTATATTAACTCGGTCATGAGCAAGCCTTCAACCCTAAGCCTTGGCTGTCGACCTCGGCAGGTTGCAAAAGGAGTTCAGCGGCATCAGAGACCTGAAGCCTTAGACCCCACAGCCCCAAAGCTTAAAGCCGCTAGAGCTAAAGCCACAAACCCTACCTGGACCCCAAAAAGTAGGTAGAATATCGGTTTTGTGCCACTATTTTGCCAATTTCTGGGGGTTCAGGCAAAGCCATCAAAAGCCCAGAGGGCACATTTTTGACCCTAAACCCCAAGCCCTAAAGCCTTAACCCTAAACCCTAAAGCACAGGAGTAGCTTTGAAAAGTCCTGGGAGGCAACGAGGCGGCTCTTGCGGCCTCGGTCTGTGAGCAGGTGGGCAGGGCCCGGCAGGGCAAATGCTGTAACTGGTAGAATTAGAAGGGAAGTACTGTGAATCTCAGCACTTCAGAATAGCAGTTATAGTCAGTAGAATTAGAGGAGTAGTATTAGAATAACTCGAATTCTGGTTCGTAGAATTAGAAGTACGGACAGTAGTAGTAGTAGAAGTAGAAGTAGTAGTAGTAGTAGTAGTAGTAGTAGTAGTAGTAGTATTGATGATCATGAGAATAGCACAGTTATAGCCAGTAGGACTAGAAAAACAGTGTTGGCAATCGTTCAGACTTAAGCAAAGAACTATACTTAGCAGAGCTAGGATAGTATTGTTGATAATCTTAAGACCTATGTAAGAATTACAAGTACAGTCAGTAAAACTAGGAGAGCAACATCACGGTTAGTAGAAATACATAGTCTGGGTTCTGGAGTACCTACTCGAATACTTTTGTTGGCACCTGTTCCTTGTAGGAACCATTGTGAAATAGAAATCTATACTTTGTTCTCGCTGGTTACTTCAAAGCCCAATAGTAGTATTGCTAACTTTAGAACTTAAGGGCAGAATTTGAGCTAGGGTAGTATTGAGAGACTTAAGAATGGCACACACAGGCCTCATAAGACTACAGTAACCATGAACATAATCAACACAACAATTCTAGTACAGTAACGGTGCGACTGCTACGAGCAAGAGCGATTCTTCCCGGCGACCCCGGTCGAATGCTGCTGCTGAGCATGTGTGGTTTGCTCACCCCGCCTGAGGCACGTGCAACGTGTGTGGAGGCAGGCAGCAAGTCATTCTTGGCAAATCGCAGTTGTCCTTTTCTGACGTTCCAGTTGCATGTGCGCAGAAAGAGTTCTCACATCTCGGCATGAAAATCAGCCGATTTCACTAACCCGCCTTTTCGTATAATCCTTCAGTCTAGGGTTTAGGGGTCAGGGTTTAGGGTTTAGGGGTCTTCATGGAAACCCTGCAGTTCCTGCAAGTGAGAGACAACTGAAAGAAGCCGGAGGTTCCTTTGCAGTTTCCAGCCCTCAACGGCCCTAAATCCTTGCCTGACCGGCACATGTTTTCATAGATAAAACAGGGGCCTAAATAATTACCTTACCTATACTCTTTCGGGGGTTCCTTATCAGAATTACAGTATAATGGGCCCCAAAACCCTATTCTAACTACTAAGGCCCCTACACGAGATGTGCCGCAGAAGCAGAGCAGGTCCGTGGCATCGTGGCCGCCGGAGGCGTGAAGGGCGCAGCGGTGGCTGCGACTGGGACCGAGGCCCTGTTGATCCACAGGGAGACTAAGTCTAGGACATTGTCAGGTGGGTAGTTACCGTTATAGGAGCCTTATAGAAGGTCTATATACCTTATGGAAGCCTTATAGAAGCCCTATATACCCTAAACTCCCCACTTGTAGTTTCCTTTAATTAACCTGTTGATCCACAGGGAGACTAAGTTTCAGACACGAGAGGGCGGCGTAAGTTGGGCAGTGCGGTTGAGCTTGCTGAGGACAGAAACTAGGGGCGCTACTAATAGAATAGTGTTGTGGGTACGCTTTACTATCATATAATGAGAGATCTGAAAGAACGAAACCAAATATTCTCAGCCCTATATCTTCAACCCTGAATATTTAAAAGCTCGCGGATGTGGCCACTACCCTAGGATCGTGGGACTGCACTTGAGAGCCTGACAGACGCGCCTTAGGCACGACAAGCTCTACGTAGGATATAATATACATACGCTACCAACCTTCTATGATATGCCACGATATAATATCATATACGTACCAAGACTGCTGCAACACTGCTGGAGACAGTTGCGAGGCTGTAGAGCTGGCACCGGAGCTCGCGGCGGAGCCAGCGCCCAGGTATCGCCGCTAGAGGGTTTCATTGTTTTGCATCATACAGAAGCCTGAACAATCAGTCATATAGGGCCCTTGATAATTAGACTATATTAGACTAGGGCTCAGGTGGTTATTTATACCATAGTCAGAGCATCCAAATAATAAGGGGGCCCCCCTCGCAAAAAAAACAACCCTGAACCTCATGTGCGATCTCCCAGCCCGGGAAAGCTGCGAAGATGTTGCATTCCTTGAAGGAAATGCACTGGCTGCAACCTCCAGTGAGCTTGGCTGACCCTTCTTTAGGTCCCCAACATATCACGGCACCTTATAAGCCCTAAGCCCTAACCGTCATTCAGAGAACTACCCATACGGGCTCCTGCAATAGTAAGGATTCTGTAAGCGCCGTGTGGCGAGGCTCGACTACAGAATCAGAATAGGGTTTGTTTAGCGTGCAGAGTTTAGGGTTTTAGCATACGCCTAGCTTTGTAGGGACGGTAAGAGGGATACTGAAGAACGCGAAGAGCTGTAGGGCGTCAGACAAGTTGGGTTTAGGGCTTCAGGGGTTGAGGGTTTAGGGTTTATCCACCGGGCACGGTTATCGTTAATGTCCCTGCTGCTCTGGCCACCAAGCGTGCCACTGCATGCTCTGTACATAGAACCCCACGTCTCTATTGTAGTTGCTTTTCTGGTTAGGACCCTCAACGTAAAGTCAGTTGTAGAATAAGTACTAGGTTCCTGAGTACCACCCTTGTGCACTTTCTATTCTAGGGTCCCCTTATGAAAACCGAATAGTAGGAAAGAGGGTACAGGCTACTCAGGAACCTAGATTATAATCCCTGTTTGATCCCCAAGGCAAACCTTGAGCTCACCCAGAATACTGGACAAGGAAAACCGAAAAAAGAGCTACATTGGAGACTCTAGGAAGCGTCGAGTGGTGCACTCAGCGGTTCAAAGGAGGCTTCTTCACGAAACACCAGAGCGATCCGATTTAGGGCTCAGTGTGGGGTTTCGGGTTTTAGCGTTTAGGGTTTAGGCTTCAGGGGTTAAGGATTTATTTATTCAGGGGTTTCGGGTTTAGGTTTTGCGAGTTTAGTGTTTCGGGTTCGGGGGCTTCGGGTAACTGGCCGAGACACTTGGCATCCGTTGTAGAAGCCCTTATGAAACCTTATAAGCCCATAGCAACATCCTATTCGAAGTCCTAGGTGCCCACAACCTTACGAGCGTAGTACAAAACGATTCTAATTACTAGGTCTCCCATGTTCCGTCTCGGCGTCGGTGTCGTATGTGATTTCGAAGCATCCTCTGAATCTTTAAGTAAGGAATAATGAAGGATGTACCTTAAGGTATAAGGGGCTCAGTATTATGACTTAAGGCATATGCCTTGTATTGGGCTCTTTGCTGTCGGAACTGTGTCGCAGGCATTTCGACATGCTGCTCCTTTCTGTGATTTTGTCGGGGGTTTCGGGTTTTAGGTTTTTCGGAAAGCCTATTCTTATGTTTATGAAGGCACCGAAAACCCACATAGACCTGTTACTTCCTGGGCCGCGTCAGAGCCTATCCCTGATTTTAGGGTTTCCGGGTTTAGGGGCTGCAAGGCTCTCAGGGTTTAGGATTTAGGCTTGGATCTAAGAGTTCCTGTAAAGTTCCCAGACAGCTCAAGAGTTCCTCTAAGGGCTTGTTATAGGGGTTAACGCCTTAGGGTCTACTATGGGAGCCTTAATGACTAGAATCGGCTTCCTTTCAGAGTTCAAAAGAGGGCTCCTAAAATGCACCCCGAATCCTTAACCCTAAATACCCTCAACCCTGAAC